GAGAGGTGGGACTGGAGCTCCAAAATGCAAAAAGACTCTTTTGCAAGAGCAAATAGGAACTGTGCTGGAGGGCAGCGCTTTGTGCCAGCTTCCCAGTCAATGTTTTTATGTAAAAAAAAAAACTCAAGAAAAAAAAGAAAAATCAGGAAATCCAGGGACCCTGATGGTCACATCAGATACCCTAGCCCTAAGAGTTCATTTCCCCGGTTAAGTATATGTAACATTGCCTGCATTAACACTGCATAGTTCTGTTCACTAACCAGAGTGTGAGGGAAAGAGTTAATGCCATTGACAAAATGACAGTGAACTCGCCAATATGTGTCTTTCCTGTCCCTTTTTTCACTCCCACCTCACCTGGAAAGGTAAAAGGGTCAAGCGACCTTTTGCTCCTCTTCCCCCAATCCCCACTATACGGGAAGAAGCATGTGCTTTTCTCTCTTCCTCTAAGCTAACCAGCTAACAATGGGCCTTCTTTCTGAAGCAAGACTTCCCGCACAAACATGCCAACGCCTCACCCTCATGCTAGTCACTTATGGATTGTTTGTAACTAAGACTTTCCACCTTCGTTGGAAGCCTTTCAGTGTGGATTCACAGATCCAGGTGCAAGAAACAGCCTTTTAACTAAATCTACTTACCTCTCCTAAACCTCTGCCTAACCCAATATACAACTGGTTCCCAACATCTCCTCTGATGGAGCCAGTTACTCAGAGGCAGAATTTAGGGTCACTAAATATAAGTTCCTAGCCTTGTTGTGTTTTTGTTCAGCATCATCTTTGCAAGCTAGGCTCAGCTCCCAACAGAGATGCAGTTCTCTCAGAGTAGAATGCGGGCTTTGAAGATCAGGAAGGGAAGGCAGGAGTTTGTCTCCTAATTGGATTTTAATTTGAGCCCAGGAAGAATGTAGTGCTTCAAAAGCTCTCTTTTTATTTGAGTGGGCTTTTAAAAGCCCCAGCATACCACCAAGTTTATTTCCAGACCTGGCTTGGGAAAAAATTGATGCCATTTGTACTTGCAACAGCAGTTCTCTGTACAAAGACAGTATGGATGCTTGAGGAGGAAAATAATGGCGATCTCCATGGTGGTAAAAAAAAAAAAAAAAAAGTAGTGGCAAAATAGACCACTGTTTAATGGTCCTTTAATGGTACCCCACAATCTTTCAAACACATCAACTAAACTGTATATCTTTTGAAGTCCATACTGTGCTTGCCAGAAATAAACAAATTTTTCCCATTGCCGTATCAATTTTTAAGCTTTCCCATAATGACAAAATTGAATTCATGAAATAGTATACACCCCACCCTCATTCCAGGTCAGAACCCTGAATGCAATTTTTGAGTGACTATCACATACAGACAAAAATAATTATTACAATGACCAGTGCAAAGAAACAGAAGAGAATAAAAGAGGGGAAAGGAAGAGACCTCTTCCAGAAGATCCAAGAAATCAAAGCGAAATTCAGGCCTAGATTAGGAATGCTGAAAGATCTGGAGGGAATAGAGCATGCAGAGCAGATAGGGTGCCAGGAGACCCATTCCAGTCGCCCTCTTGACCACCGCGTCACACTGCTGACTCGTGTTTAGCCTGCAGTCAACCAGCACCCCGAGGTCCCTTTCACAAGTGCTGCTCTCCAGCCACCTGTATCCTGACCTGTACTTATGTTGCCCATTTGTATGCCCCAAGTACAAGACCTTACACTTATCCACACTGAAAGCCAGCCTCTTGTCCCCTGCCCTCTTCCATAGTCTGTCCAGATCCTTCTGGATCCGGAGTACCTGTCTCTCAGTTGTGGCCACCGGGTCCATTTTAGTATCGTCGGCAAATTTGATCAACAGACTGGTCACCCCCTCTTCCAGGTCATTAATGAAAAGATTGAACAGGATTAGTCCCAGGACAGAGCCTTGGCTGACTCCACTGGTCACCGGCCGCCATCCCATTGATTCCCCACTAATAGTTACCCTCTGCTTTCAGTCCATCAACCATGCCCTAATCCATTGGACATGCATTGGTCTATTCCAAAACTCCTCAATTTCTCAGCCAGGATATCATGGGGCACTTTGTCAAAGGCCTTGCTGAAATCCAGGTAAACCACATCCACTGCATCCCCTCCATCTAGCCACCTCGAAAACTTGTCATAGAATTCCACAAGGTTTGTCTGACAGGAACAGTTTTTGAGGAAGCCGTGTTGTGTGACTACCAACCTTCCTTCCCTATCTAGAATTACTAGATCTCTTGCTATAATGAGCCTTTCCATTGTCTATCCTAAAATGGTCATAAGGCTAACCAGTCTGTAATTCCTCATGTCCCCTCTACTCTCCTTTTTGAAAATTGGGACCACTGACGCCACCTTCCAGTCCTCTGGAACCTCACCCGTTCTCCACGAGGCCTCAAAAATGGAGGCCAGAGGGTGTGAGAGAACCCCTGCCAACTCTCGAAGTACCCTCAGGTGTAACCCATCAGGGACTGGCACCTTTGTAACATTTAGTGCCCTGAGGAGCTCCTTGACTTCTATAGGGGTGACTCTAATCTGTGCCCCTAAGTCCCTGACCTCATCTAATTTCCTATGCGAATCTCCCCCATCCTGCTTTGGAGTGAACACATAGGCAAAATAATCATTTAGCATCTGTGCCTGCTCCCTCACATTGGTCACCAAATCCCCTTCTACCTTATTTAGCGGTCCCAAAGATAAGGTAGCAAAGAATTACTTGGAAACTTTACACGATGGAGGCAAAACCTTACCACAGTACAAAATAGAAAAATTGAAATGTGACTCGTACTGCCTTTAGATATCCTCTAACTGAGAAGCCATCTATCTTAATATCTGCTGCCAAAAGGCAAGTTGCAAAGCAGAGCTGTTTAGGAACACCTTATGTAAACAGGATTTCTGAATGCAAAACCTGAGGAAAATGTGAGCTGTCTGGGGAGCCAAGGCCGGTCCCTCACAGGCTGACCACTCTTTTGTTGACACAGTTTTGCTATGCATTGACTGCATTTAAATTTCAATCATCCCCCTTGGTCCAGCCTTATTTTGTGGGCAGGTGAATTAAAGAAAGAAAAAATAATGGGAACTGGAGGGTGAATAAGTAGTTCTCCATATTACATTTTCTCTAAGCATAAGTCTGGTCTATATATACACACAAGCCGTGTCCATGTGAACATGGGCTAGCTGAGAGCATGCACAGGGCAGGGCACACGTGTGTCTGGGCACCACTTTGAGTAATGCAAGAGGACAGGGGGAAAAGGCACGGGGCTGGGCAGAAATGCAGTGGAGGCCCATGTGAGTCCCCCTGCTTAATGTGCTGGAAAACTTGTGCTGGCCCTTTGAAGCCACCAATGCTTCTCAACAGCCCTGTGGCTTCCTGCAGCAAGGGCTTGCCTGGGTAAATGAGCCCCTCTCCGAGTTTTAGCTGAAGCTCTCAGGATGTATGGAGCAGGCACAGGGGGCATGTGGATGAACTTGCACTGGGAGGGCCTGCTGCCGTGATGGCGCCCCCTGCCTTATGGATGGTCATTGCATGTGAGATACCTCGGCTGCACTTCTGCGAAGCGGTGCTGCATGTTGCAGACCAGGCAGGTTTATGGCAGGAAGTGACACAGGATTGCGTTTCTGGGATCATTCAGCTTTCAGGCTCCAGACCATTTCTGGCTGTGGTGCTGAGACTGAGTTGGATCCAAAGCTTGTCCTATGTGAGAGGAAGGGCACTCCTCATGGAAGGTCTCTTTCTCCAGGTTTGGGTGATCTCCCCCAACAGTCAGCACAGCTGAGCCCCTTCAGCAGTCTTATGACTCTAGTTGGATTCAGACAATAGAACAAGCCATGGTAGATTTTTTTACCATCGTCAGTCTGTCGTGTTGTAGGAACCCAGTCACGTATTTCACCATGGTAAGTTTGGTCTTTAGAAACCATGATAAGAAACAAAAGTTTATTCTATGGTTTCTCTGTACCACTATGGCTAGTTGTGTTGTCTGAACCAGGATCATGGTTTCCATGGTCTTGGTATGTGATTGCCACAGAGTCCTCTGGAAAGAGTGGCAACTGCAGGAGAGGCTCCAGCCATCTAACCTCTCTGCGTGGGCCAATGAGAAAGAGGCATGTGACATAAGAAGGGAGTGATGCACCTTGGAATTGAATTTTAGTTACAGTGGCTGATAGTGGGAGAGATGAACAGCCAAGATGGAGACCATGATAAAGTAGAAACCACTTGATCTACCACTTGTCAGGTAGATCATGGCAAAAACCCCTGAGCCATGGTAACCATGCCGCCTCTACGTAGCACTTTCAGTGGGGCTGCCCTGGGAAGGGAGGAAAGCCCATTTCTTCGCAAGCAATGAAATCTGGATCCATCCATTCTGTCACAAACCACCTGCAGTTCTTTTTCCCAGCCAGCAGTTCTGATGATATGGAGAACCAATACCTGATTCTTTACCAATGGCTCATGGCTTGGGATTCCCAGTCATTAGAAACCAAATATAGAAAGGCCAATATCCTTCCCTTGTACCAAAGGTTGCCGCCTTCTTCACATGCCATACTCCTTTGCCTCTAAGAGCAGCCTATAGAAAATGCAAAGAAGTGAGCAGTCACACTCAAAGTGTTGTTATTTCCATCTCAAGAATGAATGGGCGACCATATGCAAAAGAGGCTAGGCACCTGCTAAGCACTCATGAATTTGCTGAGCTTTTCCAGCATGGAAATAAAGGTTGGAAAAAGCTTTAGTGGCTACGCTTTCTATTCCAGGCTATTGTGAGGAGCACAAAAGTCCGGCAATATAAGAGAAAGATGGGTGGCAACCCTACAGACTAGGGACCCTTCCGTGAAAGTAAACCTCTTGCTTGTCCAAGTGATGTTGTAGTGGCTGAATGTTAAAGGATGGCACTTTTTAACACTTGAGGTCACACATTTTTCTGTCATAAAGGCCTCCTAGCAACCTGATCTGTTCTCAGTCCCCTTCTGATGATGAATAGAGAGAGAAGAGCTTCAATGGGACTGTGTGGAAGTATCCACAATGCTGCAGAATATACATGACCAGGCAAGTGTGGTGATCCATATTGTTGTAGAATTGGCTTTGAAATGCCATCAAATCCTCTTAAAATGCATTGCTTTCTGGCCCACCTTGGCCAGTTCTGCTGTAAAGAAAAGATACTGAATTCTTCACAGATGAACTACAACCACTTATGCCAAAATGATCAGTAGTGTTCATGTCGCTGCTGCTGCTGCTGCTTTAAATCTCAAGAATCATTGGGCCACTATATGCAGAAGAAGCTAGGCCATGATATGAGCTTTTGTCACAAGCCCATTTGCCATAAGTAACTGGTTGAAATGTTTTAGCTTCTTTCCCCTTCTTTCCCCTCTTTCCTTTTCTGTTTATGCCATTGCAAAGGAATGAATGATCCTGCCCAGTGAACCGAAGGAGTTGAGGAGGAGGTTGTGTTGAAGGAAACAGACTAGTGCCTTCTCTAGAAAGAAACCTCTCAGTTTTGTGCAAAGAGCTGCTTTGCGTGTTCCATTGAAAGCGTGAGTCATCTGTGGTCAGAAGGAAGGGAAGGGCCGCCTGGCCTAGGACTTTCTCCATGAAAGAGGTGGCCCTTTCTGCCACAGCCATCCCACTCCAGGAGCTCAGCAGCTGTATATGAGACCAGCAAACAACATAGAACCGATTAAAAAACACTTGATATCCACTCTTGATCCAGAAAGTAATCTATGCACCTATTGCCCTCCTAGATCAAGGCCATCACATGTAACATGGGCTGGGCAACATTTTGTGGGCTCGACAGTCACATCAGTGGCAGCAGAACCTTTGGGAGGCTGGTGGAGGAGTGGTGGGTTGAACAATTCACCCGTCCACACACCCTTTCAATGAACATGCTTTCTGTTGTGCACACCCCTCCACACATTCTTTCCATGCCCTCCCAGTTCACTCATTCTCACACACACAAACATACCCAGGGTGGTCCATTGAGTGGCCCACGGGCCGCATGTGGCCCCCAAGCCCTTGTTCTGCAGTCCTCTTGCCACTCGGAGCCCCCCTTCCACCCCCAGTCCAGATCCCAGCAATGGCCCAGGCATGCTTGTGGCGCTCATGAGCAGGAGTGGGCAGGGCATGCTGGGGAGAGATCATTGGCTGAGGCACAAGAGGCTCAGCGTGCCAATTCCAAGATGGAAGGCGTGGCCAGCAGGGTCCCATGGGAGGGTTTCTGGGTGGGGGAAACTGGGGAGAACAGGATGGGCCACCCCAGAAGAAGGGTCACTGCGCCTGGGCTGTGATCTGCAGGGATCACAGGCCCACCAAGCGCTTTTGCATTGTTCGTCCTAAAACCATCCTAAAATTAATTCTCCCTCATTTAATGGTTCATATATCGTGTATATTATATTAAATATATTGCAAACACTTCGACTTACAATATGGAAATGCAACTCATTGTGCAGCCCTTGGGTTCTGCTTCGAAGTCCTCCTGCAGCCCTCGAGGTATGGAAAGTTGGACCGCCCTGAACATGCCCTTGCCAGTCGGAATTTCAGCTCTTCAGCACCACCGAGGGGGAGAGACCACCCTTGATACTGGCTGCCCAGTTGCTGCCTGATCCAAGGGGATACATGAGTGTGAGCTTGCTGAGCTCCATGTGGCCTGTGGTCTGCAGTTTGCTCACCTGTGGAGTGTGCCGAAAATGCTCAGATGTGCTGTGTGTGTGTGTGTGTGTGCAGGTGCGTGCGTGTCTACACATGATATCTCCTCTGTGCCTAGTCTCCATTCACATACACACATCCGTTTCTGTTCAACTTTCCTCCACTTTAGCATGGCACTCCCACTGTCCTTATTCTCTCATGATCTGGCAACTTTGTACTGTTCTAACAGTGCCGTTTCCTCTTCTTTCTGAACCCTGGAGCAACTTCCTCATGAGGAAAGCTGGTTCTATGAGGAAATTTGAGACTGTTTAGCTTAGAAAAGAGGTGTGCAAAGGAGAATGCAATAGAACATACAAAATTATGGAGAAAATGGACTGGGATACATTATTCTTCTACTCTCTCAGTACTAGAACCTGAGGTTATCCTATGAAGCTGCTTGGTGGGAGATTTAAGAAAGATAAAAGGCGATGTTTTTTTTGTTTTTGTTTTTGTTTTGCCACACAGCACATAGTTAAACTATGGGATCCACTTCCAAAAGATGCAGTAATGGCCACCAGCTTTAAAAGCGGATTGGAGAAATTCCTAGAAAATAAGACTACTGATGGGTACTAGTCCTGATGGCTGTAGCCTACCTCCAGGATCAGAGGCAGAATGCTTTCAATTGCTAACTGCTGTGGAAGATGGGTGGGAGGGTGCTGCTGTGGTCCTCTCTGGCGTGCGGGTTTTCCAGGGGCAGCTGGTTGGCTGCTCTGTGTACAGCATGCTGGCGTCTGGACCCTGGATCGGATCCTGCATGGCTTATGGAAAACCTTTCCCACCCAATGCAGAGCACTCACAGTCAATATAGGCTGGCCAAGTACAAACAGCCAAAAATGAAGAAGCACAAAAACAAATGAGCCCAGTGGCTTGCATAAAATTTGCATATGCAGGTGTAGTCTATAAATGGATAAATACAGGGATAGCTGGGCTCCTTTGGTTGGTCATATGCATAAGAGTAACAGTCTATTTTGCAATGCATAAAATAGATAGAGATACATGGAACATATGTGTACATTGTAATAGATGCGTTGATATTTCATATCAGGAAACTGTAAGACTTTAATTTTTAATGTTCCTATTTTTATATTGCTTTTGGTTTGTTTTGATGTTTGAAACTGAATGAACTAAATAAAATTAATTTTAAAATTACATATGCTAAATTATAGGTACAGATGCAAATTTAGAAATATAATTTAAACATAAATACATTATCCCTTGCCATAATTTACTAGGTGTTTTCAGCCTGCTGGATGTAAACTGTTGATGGGCAACAATTCTTGTGGTCCTTCATCTTTAAACTAGAACTAGACAGGCGAGCCCTTCCAAAAGAGGGCTGTCCTCTGTAAAAGAGGGCTCCTGAGCAGAATTTTCACAGCCTGCCATCCAAATGTATCTTCCCCTTCCTGCTCCATTTGGCACATTTCTTTGATTTGGGGGAGACTTGACAAAACCATTATTTTCTCCCTGCAAATCATTGTGTTCTGCGCTTTCATTCCTGTCTCTCTGGCTTTGCAAATTGGTATGTGATTGTTGTAAAAGCATAAGAAAATAAGTAAGTTATACCAATGAAACAACTAGGAGATTAAAAGTTTATTTCATTTTAAATGAAATGAGTCAAATGCTTGCTTGTATCTGTCCCTCCTGCTGTATGGTTGAAATTGTCTTTGCTGCCTGCTGCTTCTCTCAAACAGAAAGAATTTAAGGAATTTTTGAAGAGTGCGGGACCCCACCTCGTTGTCGCTGACTTCTCCGCTAAATGGTGTGGGCCTTGCAAAATGATTCGCCCTTTTGTTCACGTAAGTCTCGGTTTTGCCATCGCTGCCTTCCCAGTGTAAGGCTAGCATGTAAATCCATTGCAGTTCCCAGGAGCTAATGACTCCATTTTCATTTGGCTCAGAAGATCTTTGTCCACCTAATCCACTGTTCACCACTCCCGGCGTGTAGACCCTCTGTCACCCAAGAGCTGAATTCTGTTCAGAAAAGCTCTTTCTAGTGGCAGGCAGAGTTCAGAGCAAAAGGAGGCAGGGCCCAAGACAAAAGGAAGGAGTTTAAAACTTTGGGTATTTTAGGGTTAGTAAGCCTTAGGAAAGGCATTTCAACCTTTTAGAAAGGGGGAAAACTGCACAAAAGACCGGAAATCACCAACTGACTGCTGATTAGGGAAAGCGGGTAGGGGCAGGGCACAGGGCAAACCCAAAGGGCCAGATTCAGAATCCTGATCCGCAGGCTCCCTATGCCCTGTCCGTTTGGACCAGCAGCAACTCCTTCGGCAAAGGTCATGCAGTGTGTCTGCGGTGCTTCTTCTGTTTTGACATCAAACGCCTCCCTGTATGCAACTGGCAGCTGCAATGTCGGTAGGGCTGAGTATCCACTCCAAATGCAGCCTGAACTTTAAAGAAGCTAACCGTGGTGCTGAACCCCAAACCACCCTCTCCCAACAGCTCCACTGACACTGGAGCCACCAGCGACAAACATGGCTGGAATACTGAAGCCAACAGGAAAGACTTTTACTCTCATTAGACAGCCAATTTGCCCTTTAGATAGACAGCGGGTTGCTAATGCATCTTGCTCAAGATTGCAACAGTGGGCTTTTAAGTAAGCACTTAAAGTGAGCTGAGATTAGGGTTTGGCTTTAATGAATCAGCATCTTCTGTGAAAGACTTAAAAGGGAGTGCTAGAAGCATGCTTATGACGCAGATCAGCAAATGGTTGCTCATCTGTCTTCTGCTACAGGAAGACAAAATATGACATGGATCCCAGAGTCATTGAGGGAAAACTCAGTGCCCTCGCCCCAGCCACCGCCACCACCAGTGCCCTCCAGATGAGCTGGACTACAAATCCCATCAGCACAGTCAATGTGTCCATTGGCTGTGCCTGCTGGGAAGGTCAAAGGTTGTAGCCCAGCACATCACCCGGCTGGATGGAACGCCTATTTAAATGATGACTGAAGTCCAGCACGAACACCACCAATCTGTGAAGACTGTGGGGATACAGAACATTACATGTGAGGTGGGGCTGCCCCTTAAAATGGTGGCCTAGTATTGAGCACTAATGTTCTCCCCCAAAGAACGTCACATCCTCTCCTCTCTATCACGGTGTCGGCACGCTGGGCATTCCCCGCCCCCGACAGCAGCAGCCAATTATGTGGAGCAGGGATGGGGGGGCACGTGACCCTGCACCTCAGGAGGAAGAACCGGGCACAGGGATGCTATTTTCTGGGGCAGCCCCAGGTCACCCATGGACCCAGCCACCTGAGCTTAAATCAAGTGGAATCGGAGAATTGCTAGGAAACGTAGCATGAGTTGTTCTCTCCAAGCCTCGGTTCCTGGCTGTCATACACAAAAAACCAGCACTTTAATCATTAAGTGACTGAGCCATGAATGACAGAAGGAATTGCTGCTATCTGCCCTCAGCATTAAGGGCATGAGAAGCTTGTCCTGCAAGGATCTCTCACATAGGTACCACAATTACCTCTAATATTGCTTTAAATGGACTTGCACCTGGTGGGTCCATCATGATTTATATTCCTCTCCTCCAGAAATTTCTTTAACGAAGTCATGATGGAACCACCAGGTGGAACTCTGTGGTGGCGCCCTGCCTATGGAATGCGCTCCCCAGAGAGGTCCGCCTGGCGCCGTCGTTATTTGTTTTTCAGCGCCAGGCTAAGACCTTTTTATTTCAACAATATTTTAATAACTTTTAATATTAGCTATATATGTTTTAATCTGCAGCCAGGATGGATCTGGAATTTATTTGTATTATGTTTTATACTTCTATTCTTATTTATTTATGTAAGTCGTCCTGAGGCTCTGTGAAAGGACCGCATATAAATATTCTAAATAAATAAATAATAAATAAATCAACACAAGGACCAGAGGCGTTACAACACTGAATAGCAAGGGAGAAATTTATTGTTGTAAGCCGCCCCGAGGCTTCGGCGAATGGGGCGGCATAAAAATGTTTTAATAAATAAAAATAAATAAATAAACAACTCTGGGAGACAGAGGGATTGTCCCTTTCAAGTCCAGAGGCATCCAATGGTCACTGCAAGAAGCTGGATGCTGGACTAAGCTTTGGTCTGATCCAGGATCCTTCTTCTGTCTGGGGTCTCCAATGTTGCACCCACAGGCATCAATACACCCATAGAACCCCTTCTTGGTGTCAGTCAGACTCCCTGCCTCACCTCATTTTTATTTAATTTCTTAAGATTATACTCTTTCCATTGCCAGGTCAAAATCTTTCTATTTAAATGGCATTTTAAAATCAATAGCTTTTAACATTTAGCCGTTCTTGTTTTGTTTTATGATTTACTATTTATTGTTTTATATCTTATTCTGTTTTATTTTATTCAATGGAAATTGTTGTTGTTTTAAATTGTTCTTTTAAACCATTGTAAGCCATCCTGAGATTTTTATATAATCGGACGGCATATAAAATCTTTTAATAAATAAATAATAAATAAGATATTGTTTAATTAAAAAAAGACCAGTGTAGTCTGCAAGCCCGGTCCTTCAGCACCATCTTCACTGGGGTTCAAAAGCATGGCTTTGTGTTTCAGAAGTCATACCCTACTCTCTCTCTCTCTCTCTCTCTCTCTCTCTCTCTCTC